AGGAGATAATTAGGGTTTACAAAGTAACCACTTTGCGAAAAAGTTTAGTGTTGATACATTTTTTTGTCACATTCCATTTGTAATTGAAGATGGTAGGAATAAAAGCAGTTACTGAAGGTTGACCTACTCTAGTCCTAAAATTAAAGGCCAATGTTTCCCTTTGTGAAGAACTTTTTTTCAAAACCATTTCTTGAGGTTTGACAATGGTATGTTCAATGTAGTCTTATAGACTTACAGATATTAATTACCAAGATAAAAACTGGTCTATTGTCATCTAAGCATTAAGTTTCTAAATGTACAGAGATCTTCTAGGTTGTAAGTTAATACATATACAAGGATCAGCTTTACAGTATTTCTTAGGACTGTGTCTAATTATATGAAAAATATTTTGATCACTTATCTCTCTGAAAATCAGTAATGTCATTGAATTTAAATCAAGCTCTGTAATTGAAGCACTCTTATTTTAAAAAGTATCACTAAAATTATCTGAAAGCTTGTTTAATCCTGTATGTTTAGGAAGTGTATGGTTGTTAGTTTTTTCTGCTAGATGGCTATTAACTTTAAAGTAGTTCTAAACAGTGTCATTCTTGTATAAAAACATCTTCTTTGGAGCTGATCCATTAACTTCTTTCACTTTTTTGCTTACATTAGAAATAATTTTGTTCATCACACACTTATTTCTAATTGCACCATGAGCACTTTATTTATTGCCTACGTCATGTTTGCTAATAGCATTATGTTATTATATTCATGGACATTTTGTTTATTCCACAGATTAGAGAAACTTGGTATTATGTTTATAGAAAACATTTCTACAAAAGGGCAGTGCAACAAGCTATCGATTGTAGAAAAGGGTTCTATTACTACCAAAGAGGCTTTCAGGATCAAGAGGTATTTGATCATGTTTTTGTTTTACCTGTTTGAATGTTCCTTCAGACTTGAAGGTTATTACATGTTGGCCCAAACTTTGACAGGACAGTAGTGGGTGTCGGTTGGCAAGGTTCATACCTTGGACCATCGCAATGACAATCCAGTGCGTATACCAAATAACAAGGCAGCCATTTATGTTTGTTTTACATGTTTGAACGTCCCTTCAGACTTGAAGATTATTACATCCTGGCCCAAACCTTGACAGGACAGCAGTGGGTTGGCAAGGTTGATACCTTAGACCATTGCAATGACAATCCAGTGCTTATACCACATAACAAGGCAGCCATTTATGTAAATGTTCTCTGTTTATGTTTTATTTTTCTGTATTTTCTAGCTAGATCACCAGTATTAATTTTAATACAAAAAGTAGCCTTTTTTTTAAAAACTATATTTTAAAAAAGTTTGTCCTCAAATAAAGAAAAAATTAAGATTTGTGCAATTCTGCTAACCAGAGCACATATATATAATAATTTATACAGTTTATTTATTTCTGTCCATAAGACACATTAAATGTAATAAATATAACAAGCATCTTTTTTTTCCCCACTTCTAATGTAACCAGCTAAATTGCAATGCAGTAGTTCTGTTTTGGAGGCTACAAAGGATGCTTCAAGTAACTAGTAATGCATTACGTCAGCAAGTTGTCAACAATGAAGGTCAGTGAAGCTCTAAGTTATTTGGAATAAGTAAAATCGTATGAATTGTTCGGCTAATGTTGTTTTTTTTTAAAATGTAAATCATGATCATCAGACACCATAACTTTAAAGCGTTAAGTTGTTCTGGGTTTGTTTTGGCAGCTCGACGCTTAGAAAGAATAACAAAAGATGTCCTTGATGAAATTGGCGATGACAAGAAGCTTTTAGAAAGTCTCCTGACTGGAAGAAGAGTTCTGTTAGCAGAAGAACTGAGTAAGAGCTTTTTAATACGCAAATGTAAAGATGCTGAAACCATTTATTGTGTGGTAAAATTTTATTGCTGAAGATATTGCAACAAAGATAGTTCTGAAAAAAAAAACATAACCTATCATGTGAACAACCTTATAAAAGATGAGAATTACTCTATTTAATTGGGCTAAAAAATGAATTTTAATATATCTTTGGAATAAGCAAATTACATTTTTACTATAAATAAAGTTCCCCTTTCAGACCATGCGGTCTGTAGGGCAGATAATGTAAAGGTCATTTGTTTCTTGTGTCATGTGGCCAGCACAATGACCAACCACCTTTACTTTTCCCCAACTAATGTCAGGTACCCATTAGAGCTGGGTGGATTCAGAGGTGCTCTATAGATCCCGAAATAAAAAATTCCCAGTCTTCACCCAGATACGAATCCGGGACCCCTGGTTCAGAAGTAAAGGGCTTTACCAGTAAGCTATTACGCCTCCACATTTTCAGTATGGTTGTTGACTAAAATTTGTACTTAATAACAATAAACTCATAATAAACTCATGATAGATTTCTCTAATGATCGGTTATGCCAGGCACTTTCATGTACCATAGGGTTGTTTATTATTTTTTTTTTGCAGAGATTTTGTTCAAATTTTTTTAAAGTGCTGTTAGCTGATATAAAAGAGATTTGGTCATATGCTTTTGAATGCTCTATTTTAAAGGATTTTATTAAAAGGATATCATTCATCTTTAATCTTCGGAATCAAAGTCATTAGTGAAAAGAAGGAAAATGATATTGTTTCTGTAGCTGGAGAGACTATTGAAATAGTGCAAACCTTTAAATAACTTGGTACTATCCTAGACAATAAACTAAATTTTACTGCAAATACTGATTATATCAGCAAAAAAGGGCAGCAAAGATTACGATTACTAAGAAAACTGTCCTTGTTTAATGTTAGCGAAAAGGCCTTGGCTATGTTTTATCATGCTCACATCTGCAATATTTAAAGTTTCAATATCACTGCCTGGTATGGCAATCTGAGCATTTAAAATAAAAATAAACTTTATAGAATCCTAAATGCTGCTGGTAAAATCATTGGCAAAAAACAAACCCCATTTGGGCAGTTGTTTGAGACAAACATCTATGAAAAAGCTAACAAGATCCTTGAAATAAAGAATCACCCTTTGTGTCAGGATTTTGTGATTTTACCATCACAAAAGAGATACAAGACACTGATGGCAAAGACAAACAGACACTAACACTCTTTTGTTCCCCTGGCAATCAAATCATTAAATAAGAACAATCTGATATAAACTTTGTCACATGTAGATTATGAGTGCGTCTGGTATGAATGTACACTTTGGTTTCTTAGAGTTATAATGTTTTTTGCTTGGTGTAATGCACAAGTTGTAAGACAAATTTCCATACGGACAATAAAGATTATTATTATTATTACTATTACGTTACAAGTTACATAATTTATAAATCAATAGATTTTAATTTAATCAGCTAACAAAGGGTGTTTATGTGTGAATGGAGAAAAAGTTTCCCTAGTTAGTTTTAAAAAACCAAAGATAAACTGTTGCACCTTTATCTATCTTCACCTATCCTTTTGAACTGTTGGGGTAGCACAGATAATCTGTTTCCATTACTAAAACCCTTTTCATTCACAGGCCCTTTCATTCTTTGATGTTGTCTTCTTGTCACTTTCTCTGTCTGCCTTTTCTTCTTTAATCTGGTAATTCCCTGGAGGAAGGTCTTTGCAAACCTTGTGGACCTCATGATATGGTCTTGCAGTTTAACTTTGCATTTTTTGACAAAGTGGAGTCCTATTTCCATTGTGATACTGTTTCAAATTTTATTTGTTGTGTTTGTCATCGTAGGATCCTTCTAGCTTCTCCATTTCATGGCCATGGTCCTCCTATATTTAGCATGATATAGTGATGGTAGCTTTTGACTTCCAAACATGACAGACAGAGGACACATTGCCTAAGCAGCCCTAATTATTGTAACAGGATTTGGTCAAGAGATGACTAAGGTAGCTAGCTGTCCATGAAAATTTGACTAAATTTATGGGGCGTGGTGGCTGAGTGGTTAAGTGCTTGGCTTTTGAACCGAGTAGTTTTGGTCTCATATCTTGATAAACAAGGGATTTTGATATTTTAGGACACTTTCTGGGTCCAAATCTAATGGATTTAAGTGGGTAAGTAACTATACACATGACCACCTTAATCAAATAACCTTTACATCAATCGTCCTATAAGAGTCTGAAAGGTGCACTAAATTTATTTAAATACTCAAAGGTGACATAAAAAAATGAATTTGAATTAATTCAATATTAATATACACTTTGTTTTTTCCATCTTACAGAAAAAGTCAGACATATTCAAGACAAGCTAGAAGAATTTATCCAAGCTCTTAACAAAGAGAAATAACAATCATTTTTTTTGCATTTAAAATAATGTACCATTTTTGTGTTTCTACTGAGTGAAGTCAGAAACCATTGTGATATATACATATTGCGTCTGAATGTCTTTTTCTTTATTTTTTGTTAGTCAAATCCTGAATCATAGTTGCACTCAATATGTTACCTCTAGCTTCATCCCAATGAATCCTCAGGACTGAAGGTGGACAATTTTGTTATGTCTTGTTTTTTTTTTATATTTTGCCATAGAATTGTATTTATAATTACAATTTATTAATGCACTCAAGTAGATTTGAGATATTTTAAATGTATTGTAGTAGGAGATCAGTGCATAATCTAAATCCAGTTAGCAGAATATTAAATTTTTTTTTTTTATCTACTAATAATGTAAACTTCAAATAGACTTAAGTATTATCTGTAAAATTAGGTTGGGGAATATTTTCTATTACCAGGACTAACAGATCACTATTCTTCAACTATACTGTACCTTTCTATTTCAATGAGATATTTATTTTGTTAACAATAGTTTATTTTTACAATAGTATTTCTATAATTATTTACTTCAGTTGTACCAATATTTATAAGAAATTACAAAGTCATTAAATCTTCTCTCACAGTAATAATAAGATGATGTAGAAGTATATTTAAGAGCTAAACTAGAACTATTTAGATTGACTGGATCAGTAGATGTATAAATGTGTTCGGTTTTTGCTGTTCCATGCTCCTCTTTTAGTCATTGTTGCCTTACAGGAAATAAAAACTGCAGTTTCGCTTCATATCAGCAAAGGTTTTGTTTATTTCTTTCACTTAGTAAACAAAGTGCATGCTTTGTTTGGCTTGTAGATATACAATATAAATAAAACAATCAACATTTATATGATCATTATAAGCATTAGTTATCTGAATGAAATCTGTTGTACAGTACCGGGTACACTAAACAAATCCCAATCTTTTTAACTGTACGTGTAACATAGTGTTAGCAAGATCAGGGTGTTCTAATGCATGCCAAGGAATAAACAGCATCACAGGGCTAAGTGTTATTTTTATGAATAAAGACAATTTCACTAATACCACATGTGTATACAAGTATACACACACATTGTCTCATCTCAACACCTGAATTTGTCACATATCAGTTTAAAAGGTCTTTTTATGAGAAAACAGTGTCTAGGACAGTGCAGTTAGAACTCTATTAAAAAGCAATCATTTATTATCTTGAGAAATCTACAATCAGTTGTCTTTGATTATGAAAGTTGTGACTTGTTCTTGCTATTCACCAGTTTTAAAATTATGTTAATTGTTCTAATAGACTTACTTCTCTCCTTGTATGTAATTTTTATTTCATACAATTTTTTCAACTTTATTTGAAAGAAAATGTAAACATTCTGCATTTGTTTTTAAGTATCTATTTCATAGTTAATAAATAGAAGAAAGAACATATAATATGGTTGATGATTTTAACTGACAACACAATGATGAAAGTTGATAGCTTGAAAACTGTCAATAACGTTACAAAGACCAAAGACAGTAATATTTTTTTTTGCCATTTGCCCAAAACGTTGATGGTTTATAATGATGATGACTTTAAGCAATAAAATGTAAGGCAAAAGTTACATTTAGTTGAGATAGGGCCACTTTCGTCTGAACATAATTGAACCCATTCGCTATTTGATCAATCGTTTTGGTCAAGTGATTAGTTTTTCTCATGTTTTAATCTTGGTGGAGGATTAGACTTAATTTTGGCCTGTTCAAAGGCTCAAATACATTTAACTATCGAAAATACCTGACCGTTTTTGGATGGTAAAGTAAAGTAAAGCAGTTTGGCATTATGTGAGCCAAATAGACAGTAGAAAAAGGCAATCTCTGACCCCATAGATCTAAGAGACTTTTACTTTTTTAATAACGTATCCTTATTCCTGGTGGCTAGCCTAGACAGATTATACCAAATTTCAATATTTATATAAATAATACAATCAAATAATTAAACCACAAAATTATAAGTAGATGTATCACATTGCACCAGAACATATTTGATGTGCTAAGTTTCTGATCAAAATTTTAACTTTAAAAACAACAAAAAAACATTTGTTCTAAGCAACTCCAGGGTTCTCTGAAATTAGGCTTCTGTGAGATCATCATTGAAGTAGAGCTGGATAGACTGAAGGTATGTGTCATCATTCATGCTGAGCAGATAAAACTCTTCATCCTCATCCTCTATTCCATTCTCTGTAAGAGTTTTACTCATGTCAAGATTCTTTCCCTCATATTTCCAGGTATAGCTGCCAGCATGAGCATTGTATTTCATGTATCTGTCTTGAATCTCAGACATAATCTCTTCAGAACAAACCTGAAAAGCACAGGAAATTAATATTGATGATAGTGGTAGAAAAGTTTCCTTTCAGAACCGTAAAGATTTATTTTAACAGAAGTAGAATTTCATGTACCAGTGACCATTATTGAATATTGCCTGAGATCCAAAATAACAAACCTTGACCTTTGAACAGTTAATCAAAAGCATAGCTAGCCAAGATGTGCTAGAGTTATGTATGACAATTTGCCATCGTTTTAAAAGAATCCAAATTGGAAGAGTATGTGTAAAATGTAAAATTATTTTTTAAAATTTCATTAACTGTCAATCAAATCACTTTCCAAATTCAAGTGAAGGGAAATGTCATATAACTGTCGCAAGTGATCTTTAAGTGTTCATTAGAACTGGATAGACCAAATTAATCCACCCGAATCCAACAGAATCATATTAAGATAGCATCACAACTTTACAAAATAAGAGGACAATACTTTGCAACAGAACTGTACCTTTTTGTTTTATACTTTTCAATTTTACCCAGCATGCCTATGAATAATGAAGGACAAAAAGGATAATTAATCATAGCTTAAAAGTGTTGCTTAAAAATCAACTCAGAATTTAATTTATGCTGGCTACAATAAGAATTCAGCTACACTGCAACAATGATCTGTTTTCAATGGCTGACTTTCATATTGGAAGCTCAGACATCCAGAATAATAGAAAGGTATTACGCATGATTATATTCAAGGTAAAGTGCAAGAAAGTCCACTGGCATTCATTGGAACAATGTTGAGAAGATTTAGATAGAACTTTGAACAATATTAGTCACTATTTGACTTATGGCAAAAAAAAATGACTAGCATACAGTAATATATTTCCCATAAAGGATCTCGGATAGAAGAGAAATCTCCATGGGATGATTATTCTTCATCTGTATTAACACTATGTTAATTATTTTACTCTGCTAGTGTAAATTATTTCTACTCTTACCTTTGGTAATCAGAATATCTCTAAATTACTGATTATTTTCTTTCCCCATGTATGAAAATTTATTGTTCACAAATTCTATAAAATACATATTTGGCAATTAAAAATGCTGACCAGCAAAGCATAGCTTAATATAGTATAAAATTTAAAAATTTTTAGACTAAAAATTAAATTATACTTTTGATAATCACCTCAATGACTTGTTCTTGTGAGGTTAGTGTGTTGACAATTTTGATGATTCTAGTTTTACTAGATAAGATACCAACTACAAGAGCAGTATCCTTCCACCAAGGACGGCCAAAGTCATTGGCCCAGTTTGAGTCTGGGTAAGGTGGGGGTATGTGCACAAATCTGCCATTAGGACAGAATGGAATTATGCAGTTGGTCTGTGGATCAACATGTGTGCGAATCTGTATAGAAAGAAATGGAAAAAGAATGATTAATAATTGATACTTAATATAATTTGTAAAACCTATAATATGTTTCTTTCTGGCCATGTGAAAGAATTATCTTTTAAATGTAATATGTGTCATTTTTATTATACATAATTTTGTAATTAAAGGGGGTGGGAAGACATAATTTTTGTTTTATTCATCAATTGGTCTATTTAAAATTATGCACCCATATAATTTTCTTAACCTCAAAATAGTGCAATATATTTTACATGCATTGCAAGTTTCAGACTATCTATCAGAAATGAAGATTTTTACATTATAGTCCAAAAGTAATCACTAAGAAGGGGGTTAACCAAAGTACAGCTGGCTCGGCAATGTAAAAGGATGGACTGACCTCTCTACCTTACTTCTGACCGAAAAAAAAAAAGGAAAGATTTGGTTGCCTGAACTGTCACAGCACCCCTATGATGAAAGTCAAGAGACAGATGAGATAAGAGCCCAAACCTCCTGCATGACAGGAGATGGTGGTGACAGGTAGACTACCAATCAAACCAAGGGTCATTGTGGAGACAGTCCAAAGTGCATACCAGAAAAACAGGATTACACTTTTTTTTCTTTATGGTTTTTAACCATGTAATGATTTTTTGAAACTACTTATTTCAAATTATTCTAATAAACAGTTGACATTTTGATAGGTAATAAGCAAAGGTTATTTGAAATAAAATAGTTTCTATTTGTCTCATTTCTACTATAAAAAACTTTATTGTATAAATATCAGTGGAAAACTGGATACAAAAGAACATAATCATCATAACATTGGATTAATATTTTTAGTTAAAAGCAGAAGATTTAAATAAAATAATATTCTAAAAAATAAAGAAATGCTCATATATGTGTATATATGACTGACATGGAAATCAACAATTTCAATTGAGAAATAATTGGTAATGTAATAAGAAAATTTATTAAATGAATTTATCCAAGTGTCATATAAAGAGAATGAAATTCAAATATGCTATAATGTTAATTAAATTGATTTCTAATCAAATGTAGAATCCATTTTAAATTGTAAAGGCATGACATTTAAAAAAAACAGCTACTAGCTTTCTTTGTACAGACATATATATGTATTAAATCAAATTAGGATTTTCAATTTTAGGAACAAAGATATCTTCTTCTTCCTCTAGCCAGTTTTTTGCTGCTGAGCTGTAAGTTCTGTTGAAATCAAAGATACCGAGTGGCCCATGGAAAAGTAGATTATTCAAACTTCTCATATGACTGGCACAAAGATTTGAAACTCTGACAAAAACAAGAAATTAATGTTGTAATGGTGCCCAGGAACAATGTAATGTTGTCTTCTTCTTATATAATACAGACGTTACTTCAAAAAAAGGAGATGATTACGTCCTACGCGTCATGCATTTAGTCATGCATATTAACCAATGACTTAAATTCTGCCAAGTCACTGGTTTTCCTGGCTAGCTCAGGCAACCCATTCCATGCTCTAATAGCACTAGGGAAGAAGGAGTATTTGTACAAATTTGTCCTAGCATATGGGACGAGGAATGTACCTTTATCTTTGTGTCTTTCAGAGTATTTTATTAAATTTTGTTTTTGTATTTGAAGATTATGGTTCAGTGTTTTATGTATAATAGCTACTTTACTTTTGAGTCTTCTGTCCTGAAGGCTTTCTAAATTTAGTGATTTTACTATAGGTGTTACTCTAGTCAAATGTGAATATTCATTTGTTATGAATCTCACTGCTCTATTTTGTGTATGTTCCAGTTTCTTAATGTTTTCTTGAGTTGAGGGGTCAAATGAATGATCAGCAGACAGGGTGGAAAGTAATAGGCTGCCTTCAATTCAGAATGAGGGCTGCTGGCTAGGGCGTGGGCTATTTTAAACAAAACAAATTTGAACCAAAATAAAACCCTACCATTTATGTTGGTTAAACAAAATTGATAACATTTAGTAAAATTAACAATAATTTAATGAAGATGACATACAAAAATTAACATACGTCTTTAGTTTTGCTGTTGAACCAATGTGAAATGTCCTTTCCAGCAGATAAAATAATTGGTTTCAGTAAAATATCTCCTGTGAAAAGAAGAAAAATTTAAGGCGTCATTAAAATATTGCTGAGGAAAGTATCTAAATGAAATAGTAATACCAACAGATAAGAGTATTTTTAGATAACAGAGTTTTTTCATTCTGGGGCTCATTTGCTTTGTCGTAGATCTGAGGTGCTAAATGCATCTATAAATATAATGTTTTCCATAGCCTAAACATGCAGGACACCATGCTTAAGTCATGGAATGATAATTCTTTTATTTATGCTTGTGGAATTAAAGTTAGAGTTAACTTTCCGAGAACGTCCGCATGACCATCCTCGAGTTTACAATCCAGGTCAACGTCTCTCCATATACCTGTTATTTAGTGGTTGCATTCATGACAACGTACTGGAGTGTAAAACTATCGC